CCTCCTCCTCTCCTCTCGGCGCACACTTTTTCTCTTATAAAGTAACCTGCAGGCACTCGTCCGCTCGCCTTTGAATGGGTGGTACTACATTCGGTGAGTCTGTCTAGTCTGGTTACCCCGGAGCAGGTGCTGGTGTAATTATGGGAGGTGGAGGCTGAGCAGGGCGAGCAGAGGGCTCCATGCCCTTGGAGACCACGCACCCAGCTCTCCGTCCCTTCCTGTCCGCAAACTCTGGCTCAGGACAAGTTGCAAACACGCTGCTGGGTGGGCATAGGCCCGGAACTCTAAGCCGGTGCCTGGCCTCCGTGAGATCCCAGAGCTCCTTGGGCGTGGCACAGGCTGATATGAACAGGCCCACGTCTCCGCTGTTTTGGAGCTGGTGGCCCATCACTGCTGCAGCCAAACGCAGAGGAAACCTTCCCACGCCCTCCAGGCCAAACCGGCCACGCTCTTCTGATGTCCACAGTCATCACGGGATGTGTCCAACCTGCAACAAGGCGTGCTCACATCAGCCCCTCACCCCGTCACTCTGAGGGCACCCGTCCACGCTGTGCTCCTCTCCCTGGGCCTGGCTCTGGGCGTCCTCACCCTGTGGGAGGGGTGTCGGTGCAGTGTGACCGAGTGGGGAGGTCGCCCTGGGGCCGGGGTAAGGGCTGCTCCTGCTTTGAACTGAGAAATCAGAACCTCAAGGGCAGAGACACGGAGCAGAGAGGAACACTCAGTCCTGCGCATTGTGTGAGCTGGGGAAATAGTGTCCACTGCTAAACCCGGTGACAGCCGTGGGCAGCGGGGGCTTGTAGGTGGATACCGAGGTAGCTCTCGTCCTGTGTGGCCCTGTGTGGATCGACAGGGAGTGTGGGCTGCGTGTCTGGGTCCCTCGAGGGACCTGTGCTTGGCAGGCCCGGGGACCACTCCCCGGCAGGCAGCAGAGCAAACCGCGACGACAGCTGCATGCCGTTCCAGCGCTTTCACATCTGAGTGCAATGAGTGAACCCCATCCTGGCCCAGCCCCACATGGCCCCGGGGTGCAGCCTTCCTTCCTGTGGACCAAGGGCTGCTGGAAGGGGGTCCCCTAGATCAGCGCAGCTCGGAACCTGACGGCTGCGACTTCCAGCCACTATGCCACCCGCTGGCCTGCTCTCGGTGCTGACTTTCCCTGCCACGCCCGGCCGGCCTCAGGCCTAGAGCAGAGGGAGAGACCCACTTCCCAGGCTCTGCTGCTTGTGTGGTTCCTGTGTCCGCTCTTCCCACTATCACGGTCCCGTGGCCCCACAGTGAGTGACACACCAGGGTCACAGGGTGAGAGGGGCAGAGCCAGCCCCGGACACCAGGGCCCCACCTCAGAGCCCTCTCACCTGACGTGGGGCTCAAGGCTGAGTGGACACCAGGAGACAGACTGAGCGGGACACGGTGTGGGTGTGTATTGTACTGTCCTGCAACTTTTCCGTAGGACCAAACTTTTTCAAAATAAACTAAAGAGGTAAAAACAGCCAAGGGCCAAGCAGAGCTGAGCGCCCCTACCTGAAGATCTTCACAACCCAGCCAGGCAACGGGGTGGAGGGCAGCACAGGCACAGCGCACAGTGGCAGAATGTGGCCCGCAGGCTGATGGCGCTGGCCCCAAAGGCCGCGTCCTAGACAGGGTTGGTTCTGACCAGGAAGCACGGGTGGGTGTGACACCTGCTCACCTCTGACTGCTCTTCCTCTTGTCGTGCTTGGCAACTGCAGCCCACCCCTTCGGGAAATGAGCAGGGCCCCTGACAGGACAGGACCAGGCCTTCGAAGAGAAGGGACTCAGACCCAGACATGCAGAGGGGACAGCAGGGCCAAGGAGGTCAGGCTGCAGCCAGGCATCTCAGGACCACAGCACAGTGGGGGAGGCAGGAAGGGGCCCCCGGGGCCTCCCAGAGGGCAGCCCAGCAGGGCCTCGAGCGCAGACACCAGGCTCCAGAAGCCAGAGTGCAGGGACTTGTCACTGCAGCTCCAGGACACGAATGCAGCTGGACTGTCCCCACAGGGAGCTGGTGGCACTGAAGGGTTTGCATGCAGCCCGTGCTCCCCCAGAAGACCCCACAGGAAGAGGAAATGCAGACCACAGCCACACTTCTTCCCCTGCCTGGTCCCCACGCGGCATCACTAAATAAACCCTAACCCGGCAGTCCCAGAGCCCCGTGTCCCACCCAGACCCAGTCTGCCGGATAGCTGTTGTGGAGCGGGTGGGTGCCTCTGGGGCTGGGCCTGCAGGGCAGGACAGGACAGGACAGGACAGGGACCAACACCCTCCTCGGAGCCTGAGGCAGATGGCTGACCCAATTAGTGTGTGCAGCTGTCCAAATCGTGGTCCTGAAACCCGAGGCCCGGTTCTGGGAGAGGCCAGGAGAGTGCACATGGGACAGCCCTCTCTAATGACAGCACGCAGAAACCCGGACTCAACCACCATGGGATGTGGGGGGGCACAGACGGAGGCAAGGAAGGAGGACCCAGTCCAGGCGCCTCACCCCTCAGCAGTCCAGGGAAACAGACTGGGAAGCACGTGTCACAGACCCCTGTGTGAGGCCAATCGCTGCCGTGGATTGGGAACCGGGCAAGTTTACTGGGAATCACAGGCTGCTCTGCCCTCTCCCCAAGGTGCAGGGGAGAGGATGTTTGGCCCGACATCCAAGCAGGGCCAGCACCTGCTTTTTGTACAACAGCCATTTCTTGTTTGCAGAAACAAGTGGTAGTTCTGCTCAAGCCTAGGCCAGAAAGTATGCGTAAGGAACAGTTGCAGTGCCCAGTAGGAGCCAACTGGGGAGGCAGAAGCAGGAGCATCTCCAGGCAGCCCCGGGGGCCCACCACAGTGCACACAATAGGCACCCTATAAATAGGTGGAAGGACCTGGGTGTGCAGGCGCACGCCTGTAATCCTGGAACTCTGGAGGATGAGGCAGGAGGACCATTGTGAGTTTGAGGCCAGTCTGGGCTACATAGTAAAACCCTATCTCAAAAAACAAAGAAAAAACAAAAAGCCCCAGAAGTCAGGGCCCCATCCGCGCTCAGGCTGGAGCTGCCCCTTGTGTGCTCGCTGTCCCCAAGAGGACATTAAGGGACAAAGCTTCCCTGGCAAGAGTGCCGGAAGCCACACCTTCCCCACAATGCAGCCTTCTCCCGCTAGGCTCCTCTCTGCACTCTGGGGAGCGGAAGGAGAGACCGCTTTCCCTGTGAGCTATCTTTCACCCCGACCTGCCCAGCGAAGGGGACAGGGCTCCTCACTCCCCTGTCCTCGGTCCCCGGTCACCCACCAGCAGAAGGGGGGATCGCTGAGTTATTTCTGTGCCAAACCCCCGGACGGAGGCAGGATATCAAGACCTCTTGCCCAGTGCCAGGCCAGGCACCGTCTGCAGGCCTGGGTGGCAGGAGGAGCCCAAGACTCGCATCCCCTCAGCAAAGCTCGCAGCCTGAGGCACGGAGCTGTGGCTATGCGGATGGTGCCCTCCTCCAGGAGCTCTGTGGCCTGGCTCAGTCCAGGGAGATGCTGCCCTCAGGGGCTGTGGCCCCCGGGCATGGGAGCCTCCCCTCTCCAGGGAGCTGTGCACCCACCTCCTCCTCTCCCTGCGCTGCGGCTGCACACAGGGCCCTCCCTGGAGGAGAGAGGACCTCGCAGAAGCCCAGCACTCCCAGAGCTGACCAAGCCACTCAACCAGACGTGCATTGCAGAGGGCCTGGGGAGGCCAGGCTGAAACCTGGCTGAGCCTGGCCGCCCACGTGCACCTCCTCTCTGCAGTGATGCAGGGTGGGAGGCCTGGGATGGACGCCCAAGAGGGCTGCTCGGGGCTGCCACAATGTTGGGCCAGGCTCTCGGGGTCCGAGAACTGAATTGGGTGTAGGTCCATCGTGGGCCGCAGGAGGAGGCGGGCGGTGCAGCCCACCGTGCGGGGCTCAGTGCCCCCCCGAACCCCGTGTCTAGTGTCTACTGTGCAGGTCGGAGCCTGGGGCCGCTGAGGTGCTGGAATGGGGTGCTGGGACTGAGACTGGTCACAGGCACCACCCCTCACACTTAGGGTGCGAAGGAGCTGCCTGGAAGGTGCAGACCTCAGAGACCCGGGCGTCCCAGGCAGGAAGACCGATGCCCAGTCCCCACACAGGGAGGACCCAGACCCCCACTTCTTTGGCCCTCACCTCTCTGTGACCTTGAAGAGAGAATTCCCCAGGACACACAGGCCGTGCAGGGCCAGGGTGAGAGTGTGAAGGTGGCGGCACCACGCAGGGTCTGCCAATCACGGGTCCGAGCACACACGAGCTGCTCTGGGTTCAAGGAGCCAGGAGGTGGATTCTTGGTGACATTGCTCTCCAGGGCTACTCCGGAAGGTCTGAGTCTCAGGAACGCCTCCCCCGACCCTCTGAGGAGTCAGGGTTTCCTCGGGGGCCTGCGTCCCACAAGAATTGAAACCAGGTCTTAGGCCAAGGAGGGAGGGCTGCCCAGGGCCCTGGGTCGGCCGGGCACTGAGTGCGCGCCTGCCTGGCGTCGGCCATCAGAAGGCGTGCGGAGTCCAGCTGCAGACGCTGCTGCGCCCGGGGAGGTCGCTGAGGTGCGAGACCCGCCCAGTGATGAGCATGCCACACGGCATGTCCTCCTTTAACCACTTACAGCACACACCTCCCGGGACCCCTGTCCCCTTTGTCCCTCAAGACTGCAAATGTCTGGCCATCTGCCCACCACGGCCGCAGGGCAGGAGCATCTCACTGACCTGTCGCACTGTGTCCCAGGGCAGCTGAAGCGGGGCCCGGGTCACTCTCGGGAGGACAGATGTCCAGAGAGCCTCGAGGTGTCATCATCCTGGTAACGTGTTCCCAGGCCTGGCGGGGACGCGGACCCCAGGAACACTGCCCATCTGGCACTCTGGATGGGAGTCGGCTCCCTCCCTGCCCTCCTCAGACCAAGCACTGTGGGGCAGCCGGGCCCTGAGTTCAGGGATGGCGCGGGAGGACCCGCCCACCGGCATCTTCACGGGCTTTTGGGGCGGAGCCTTCCTCCACAGCAAGGACTTCCTGTCTCTAAAAGTCACTGTCATCAGGTCCGGGGAACCCGCATCCTCCCATCACAGCGTCCTCCTCCAATGCTCTCCTTCCACAGCGTCCACGCTGGATGGACTCCTGCCTGCTCCAGAGAGTGACTGTGCTCCCCCAGAAGCGGTGGGGGCCGTTTGGCACAATCCACATCCCCGACGTCTCCGGAGGCTGGAGGGGGACCCCAAGCTCCGTGCCTACTGCACCACGTTGGCGGCCAGCACCTTCTCCCTCGTCCCCCTCACCTTCGCCTCCCCAGACACACAGCTCAGCGGACAGGCTCGGACCCAGGCAGCCCTCCCTTGCATCCCCTGCCACACGCGATCTTCACGCCTCCTCCCACATCTCTGGGAGATGGTCTCATCTCTCCTTGGCAGAGGAAGTAACTCACTGCGCAGGAGCTTCTCCCCAGCCCATCTCTTCCTGCTGCATCATCTCCCTTTCCGCTCCGCCTGTCCTCACCTCCCCACTCCCACCCTCTGCCTCCTGCCAGCCTCTGCCACTCCCAGCACTGGAGAACGGGGAGATCTCAAGACGGCGCTGCTTTTCTAAGGAACCGCTCGGCACTGGGCTCCCAGGGGTCTCCAGGGACCCCCCGTTAACAGAGGTGGCTGGGTTGCTCTGCGTGGACTGGAGGAGACAGACGGTTCTAATGCAGGCCACGTTGTATGGTGAGCAATGGCGCCCTGTCCAAAGCTACAGGCCCCATACTGGGTCCACGTCCTGGCCACTGGAGGGCCATCAGGTCTCTGGGACAGAACTGGACGTTGGCTTCAGGTGGGAACCTGCTATTTCTTCCAGACAAAACTGGTGTTTTATCTGAGCTGGCCCAGGCTAAGTCCTGCATGTTCACGACCCTGTTTCTTCCCCCAAATCTTACACCGTCCAGCTCACCCTTCTTGCCCCACTCCTGCCCACACACGTCCAGGCTGATGTCTGTATCTCCCCTGGCCGTGGATCTGCCTGCTTTATGTGGCCCTGAAGATGCGTGAGCCCCTGTGACAGAGTGGGCATCCCAGTCCCTAACTGCCCTCAGAACCAGACGGAAGCTTTGGGAGGTCATCGGCTTTGTAAACCAACTGGCGCCCTGAGGTCTAGCATGCATTCGAGACTTGGCTGTGTCCTGGAAGCCCCCAGGCCCAGGACCCCCCGAGTGAGTTTCCTTTCTGTGTCTCCATTGGCTTTGGACATCTCCTACATGGACAGGTGACAGGGGACAGAAATGGAGGACAGGGCAGACCGGAGGAGTCGAGGGTTGCAGGACATCTGTGCTCACTCTGACCATCCTTTCCTTATAGTATACAGGTGGTCAGTGACCCCCCAGTGGGCCTGGCGCCCCCCCTACAAGAGCCCAGAATACCCTGAGTGTCTGAGCCCGGCTTCCTTCTAAAGTCGACTGTGGGCAATCCCTGAGCTGCACCCCCAGCCCTTTTAATTTTATCTTGAGACAGGGTCTCACTAAGTCGCCCGGACTGGGCTCAAACTCACCATCCTCCCGCCTCAGTCTCTTGGGTAGCCAGAACCACAGATGTGCACTTCTCACACGGTATTAGGCCACCGTCTTTCACTTGTGACTGTGCTCAGGGCCTCGATGACAACTTCAGAAACGTACTGGACTGAAGCTAGAGTTGGAATTCACGTTAGCCTTTTTTCCCAGGTTTGGATATTTAAAGAATAAAATGAGAAACTCCAGGTCAGGCTCAATGAATCAAAGGCCAACAAACCACCATTTGATTTCAAGAAACCAAGCGGGCCAGGCTGAGTGGTGAGGATGGTAGCACACAGGGGAACTGGGCCTCAGGCCAAGGGGACAGCCGCTGCTGGCCACCCGCCAACAGATGCCACAGGAAGTGTCTGACCCTAGCCAGAGCTCTTGGCACATCAAGAGGAACTGGCCATCTAGAGTTTAAAATAAACATCATCCTCAGAGGGCTGAGAGAGAATATTTTTAAATCTAAACATCTCTGCGGCGTAAGACAGCTCCCAAGCCACCCGTTCCCACCCTGTGCTATAGGACGGTAGCAACTCTGGCCTCGGCGTCACCAGGAAGACATCTCGGCAGAAATGATAGCTGACATCCACTGTCCAAAGTGGACTTGTCTCTGTGAGCTGCCGCCGTTCTCCCTAAGTAGTCGCGCACACACAGCAGCTGGACTTCAAAGGCACCCTGGCGGCCGGCGGGCGGGGCCTGGGCGGCGGCACGTCTGTCCTGTCCAGCGTCAAGAGCTGATAAGCACGGCTGAGGAGCCCCACTGTAAATGCTGTTGCAGCAGACAATTTATTGGGCAGCCCCTGCCAGCCCATTAGTCATGGACTATTAGAAGACTTTTCAGACAATGTTTTGAAACCTGCTCTTGAACTCCATTAGCCTTGGACTTCACGCAGGTTGCAGCAGGAAGGATGGGTGCTGAGGTCACCTGTTAGCCGAGCAGCCGTCTCTGCAAATGTCCGCAGGGACTGCCCAGGCTGGGCTGGGGGAGCGGGCAGCACGCTCCGTGCAGGCTCCCGCCATCTGGGGGTCCCGGGGCCTTCCCTGGTTTCCACACTGCAGGTCCTACATGCCAGACTCTCTCAGTCCTAGGAAAGGTGGTTGTCACCCTACGGCCACCCCAGTTTGGCTGCTTAGTTGTTGTTTCAGTTGTACAAATTCAAGGGACGCCGTGTGACCTCTCCACCGTGTTCCCAGTGTGAGCTGGTCTGACCAGTGACTGGTTGCTGGCCCTCTGTCGCCGTCTTGGTCGGCAGTCGTCACGCCTTCTCCGTTACTCGTGCAATAAGCCGGAGGGGCCATCAGAGCCGCCAGGCGACCTCTCCTTGCCCAAGGCTGCCCAGCAGTGTGAGTGCCAAGAGCTGCCGGCCATCGGGACCGGTGGGTGCCGTTCTGACCGTGGGAGCCCTGTCCATCAGCCCGAGGGCTCCAGGGAGCTGAGGGGTGGGGAAGGACATGCGCCTGGGGTCACTGCGGTAGTCACACGCAGTGAGGAACCACAAGCCGCAGAGCAACAGGGAGCAAACCCGTTTGTCCTCGCAGACCAAGCTGGGCCAGGCGCCAACGCCCATCTTCTCACCCGCCAGGGTGATGCGGTCCACACCAGCTGAGCAGGATGTGTCTGACGCACTCACAGCTGCTCCACCTGCTGTGAGGTCCCAGGCCTGTACGTGCCTCAGTCTCCCCTCTGTAAAAATGGGAACCATACCACACCCGACCTCCTAGCATCAGGCAGCTGGCCTGCTGCTTCTGTGGCTCTGAGGGCCGAAGAGGGGGACGAGGAGACGTCACAGGGGTACACCTGGGTGCCCCGCCTCCAGGCCTGCCTCTGCTTCCGACTCCAGGCCTCCTGGCCCTCTCCTGAGAGATGCTGTGCCATCCAGGGGGGCTCTGTCACCCCTCTGAGCCGTCTGGCTGTCCCAGCGGGGAGGAGAGGTGTGGCCGAGTCGGCAGTCACTGCCCTGCCCCGGGCACCCTGCAGTGTGGGCTCTGACACCCGTTGGCTATAAGTGTGCCAGGCTCAGAGCGCAATGGGCATTGCACAGAGGGAAGGGAGGAGGCCGCAGAAATGCAGCTGGCTGGGGCCACCCTCCAGGCCCCCACAGCTGGCATGAGCCACCCAGGTTTCCCTCATGTCCTGCCTGGGGCTCCATGCACAGCTCTGTCCACGGGAGAAGGGAGGAGCCCAGGACTGGCTTCGGCCTGGTTGGGTTTCCGAAGTCTAGCACCTGCCACTGGCATGCTTGGGGATGACCTATTAAACATTTACCGCCCATTTCCTGTACACGTCTGGTGAGGCCGGCAGGAAATTCAGAACAAATTAAACAGCAGCTGCAATCCCTCATGCTTTAGTGGTCCCTCCCCAGCCCTGCACAGCATCATAAAATCCGAGGGGCAGATCTATTAGGGACAGGCCAGTTTCATCAAGGAAGCGTCCCCCGGCCCCTGCCAACGGGCCCCATAAAGAGCAACTGGCCAGTGTGCATCTGCCTCCCCACCTCCACCCACGTGGCCAGGAGCCGGGGGCGCCCTCCCTGCCCACACCCACTCACCCTCCCTGCCGTTCCCACACCATTTCACATGTGGTCCAAGAGGGGCACTTCCTGCCGTTATAAAAAGCAAAACCAAGACCCCAGCAAAACAGCCTGTGTGCAGAACACCCAAGTTGACAGTGTGAGAGCGAGAGGGCCTAATCCATTCCATATGACAGGCAGCAGTGGCCCGCAGGGGCGGCCAGCCCCGAGGAGAATTCCGAGCGGCCTCTCCGCCACTCCCGCCTGTGTCCCTGACCCCCCTTCCCCAGCAGGGCCTTCAAAACAGGAGAGAAATATTCTGAGGGGCATGCCCTGGCTTTAAACTGATTACTACTATGCATTGTTCTCTCTCCACTCTGAAAATAAACTCTAGGCAGCATTAATGCAAATACAATATAAACATGCTGGATCCTAGGTTTTCGGCTCTCCCAGGCGTGTCTGGCTCGCTCCTTAGGGTTACGGGGTAGCCTGATGTGAGAACCAGATGCGCCTTCAGTTAGGAGCCTCGCAGCCCCAGCCGTGTAAACAGACAGCCATCAGACGCTGGGGTGACAGCGCCCCGAGAACACCTCGGTAGCAGTTTCCACTCCGCCCCTCAAAACAGCAGGCCTGTGAGCTGTGTTCCGAGTGTGTCATGGCAAAAGCAGGCGCGGCCCCTCAGTTTGAGAGGAAGACACAATCATAGATGGTCAGATCTTTGCATGGATTGACAGATTTGGGTGGTATTTCTGCTACCCTCCTGCAGTCCCACTGCTGGGGGCAGGCTGTGACCACGCATGGTCACTGCGTGTGTTGACAGATGCTCTTCACATCTTCGGCCCCTGGCAAACAGAACAATCTCTTTCCACGGCTTCTCACCACAGATGCCAGCCCCAGCCTGCTTATCCTTATCACATCCAAAATAGAAACTTCCTACTTCCTGCTTCCTACTTCCTGCTTCCTGCTCCCTCGTTCCATAAACCATTCTCCATGGGAGGTGCTAAAAATGGAAAGGTCGACATGAAAGGGCTGCTCGGAAGATTTATTCCAGCCCATAAAAGTCTCTTCGGCCCTCTGCGGATGAAGTGGTCACTGCTACTTTAACTTAACCTCTTCCCGAGCAGTCAATCTGAATTTTGCCTATAATTCCTCTAAAACCTACAGGGCCGACCATTTACGGGCTGGTTGTTCTGGATGACTTGACAGATTAGTATAGTAAATTTCAGTGTCTTAAGTACTAAATGAGGTCATTTGTTTAATGAGCCAACCCTGTGGCCAGAGTCTGACCCCCAGCCCACTCTGGTGGGTTCACACGGAGTTCCAAGGCGGAGGCCTGGGCTTGCCCATTTGTCTTTTGTTTCTAGAGAAACTGCTCCAAACTGAGTGCTGAAAATCCAATCCCAACATCACACGGATGTGTTCGGAACAGTTAAAGTGAATTCTCCCGCCTCAGTCTCGCCCCTATCCATTCTCTCCCAACGTATCATCATCGT